TTCATACTTACTCCACAGGCAAAACTGCCCAAATTTCCCAAAGTCGGCATTTATGAATACAGAAAACAATAATAATTAATGAATAAATAATTTCTATCAGCGATAATGCATGGAATAGATATCAAACAAATTGAATATGAATTTTGAACTGCCGAGATATTAGGTATTGTTAGTGTAATACTGTAAGTATAGCCATATTCATTATATCTATGAAAGTGATGGGGTTTCCCAGACTTAAAATCCACCTTTGGCTGTTTGGAAAAGTGCTCAAAATATTGAAAAACATTGTAAATAAAGTTTCTCAAAACTGAGACAGGTGTTTCCTGGATTAAAACAGATTGTATTTCCATATTAGTGTATGTTCGATGTAACGCAGTTTACTTTTGACGAGAAGAAGTGAACGATCTTTTTCCTTAATTAAAATTTGAAATATTATTCAAATCAATGGAAAATTTTATTGACATTTTGATAACATACATATTGATATATCTTCTAAGGAATTATGTCATAAAGTTCCTGTGCACGTGTACAGTACAGCTACCCTTTGTAGATCAGACATCATTTTAAAAGAAATTTATGAATTGTTTCACCCTTCAATTGGCACTAGTGATTTTATTTATTATTCAAACACAAACAAATGATGCCGATATACAAAATATGTGGGATTGTTGCATCATAATAAAAAGGGCCAAGCAAAAAAGAAGAACTGTTATTATCGCAAATATACACCACAGTCCGACAGTCAAGTGTCACACATTTTTGTTGTAAATTTGCGTTCTCGTTATCTCACTTATTAGCATAGGCCTAGATCACTTCTACTTCACAAGGATGGAAATGAAGTTATTAAATTATTCTTATGATAGTTATGATATACTTCTAACATCTAGGAATTTAAATTAATTTCTTTTTGTTTTAAAGTTTAATTATCAACTGTTAAAAACCACACTTTTGGTCACACATAACCATTCTTAGTAGGTATTTAGGCATCTTATTAAATGTTATAATAATAAAGAAAAGTTTCATTTTATAACTATTCATATAACTATTTTAATATGTTTAGAGTAGATAATTATTACAAAATAAAATAGCACATTTCCACAGTTAGGGGCCTGAAAGGAATAGTAGATTTTTTCACAGCAAGAGGCCGGAATGAGTGAAGGTGTTGTTTACCTTGCTCGGATGTAGGGGCCAACGTGTGTGAAAAGTATTATTAAGCTACCTCTATTGGGGGGAGGGGGGGGGGGCACAGAATAGAGCACACTGAGGTTGCTGGTACATCTATGGGAACTACTGTCCTAACATCACACTTTCATAGAGTGCAAGACAGGATAAATGCATAATGATAATGTTCTTTTGTATTTATGGGCTTGGGTAAGAGATATGTTTTATGGTGTTTAATTCCTCCTTAAGATGGCGATGTATAGGATAAGTTTATGTACTTTCCTCTGTTTTTGGCTTGGCGATAAGTATTGTGTAATTTGCTTCGTGAGAAATCGGGGTTCGGTAGAAGTTTGGTGAATGTTCCGGAATTAAGTAAACGGTTTTTAAATCTTACTTAATTATGGACAGGGGTTAGAGAGTATAAGTAGTTGTTCTTACCTCAAACCTCAGTTAGGAAGGGGGTTGGACTGAGCTGGGGTGTAAGCATTTAATCTCATGATAAACATAACAATACATTCATACAAATTAAAACTAATGTAAATTGTAATGTATGAATAGTTGGTAATATTTGAGGGGAATGTAATTCTGCTATATTCACGGACACCAAAAATAGGGCATAACTAAATTTACACCTAATATAAATACCCTGAATTATAAATTCTGTGAATATATATGTTTACAAGCAAAATAAGCAAAACACGTTCAAAAACGTTTAGGTCTCGTTTAATTAGCAACGGTTAGTTTTAATTTTTTGATCAGATCGATAGTTTTCAGGTACGTAAGAATTGTTGCGATATCAACCGTTTCCGAGAGAAATATGAGATGTGTAATGTTACTATGAAAATTGTCTCATGTCAAGGTCATTTCAATATAATGACAAACGTTTTACTGTAAATGGTTCGTGACATGCTTTTCACCGAGTTTGGTCCTCGCGTTTCCATAACTACGAGTGTGTAATGTATGAATGACCCTTCCGGCGACAGGCAAGGACAACCTCGTATCGTCGGTTTTTCTCTGAGGCTGGGATACCATTCATCGATATTGAGTTTTTCAGAGTGTCATTTATTGTCCTCGCATTGATTCGATTTCGTTTGCAACTTTGACCTTACAATTGTAAATAACATTAAAACATTGTAAAGCGTTACCTTTTATATGGTAGTTAAAACATGGCTAATCCTTGTATGGTGTCGTCATGGTAAAGTGTCACTTTATATGTCGAAGTCAATACATGGTTAGTCCTTGTTTGTTGGCGTTATTGTATAGTGTGTCCTTGTATGTTAATTGGTGTCCTAACCTAGTAAGTCCTTGTATGTTAAAGGTATTGTAAATCATGTTCTTGTATGTTAAAGTCAAAACATGGCTAGTCCGTATATGTTGACGTCATGGAAAATTATATCCCGGTACGAAGAAGTTAAAATTGGGGTAGTCCTTGTATGGTGCCGTTATTGTAAAGTGTGTCCATGTATTTTGAAGTAAAGCATGGCCAGTCTTTGTACGAAGTAATATTTAATCAACACG